TTTTCTATATTTTCTATAACATAGAAAATTACAAAAAATCATTTAAAAAGTCAAAAAACAAAAACCCACCCACCCATCCACTACTGCTACTCCACAAAACCAAAAAAAAATCCAACCAAACAAAGCAAAACTCAAAAATACCCATGCAAATGGGGGCCAATTAAAAAACCCCACAATATTCACAGAATTCGCAGTATTCATAGAATGACTAGGTTGGAAAAGACCTTAAAGATCATCGAGTCCAACCTATGCCTTAACACGTCAACTAAAACATAGCACTGCGTGCCACATCCAGTCTTCTTTTAAACACATCCAGGGATGGTGACTTCATCACCTCCCTGGGCAGATCATTACAGAACTTTATCACCCTTTCTATAAAAATCTTCTTCCCTATATCCAACCCATATTTCCCTTGGTGCAGCTTGAGACTGTGTCCTCTGGTTCTGTCAGTGCTGCCTGGAGAAAGAGACCAACCCCCACGTAACTATGACCACGTTTCAGGGAGTTGAAGAGAGTAATAAGGTCACCTCTGAGTCTCCTTTTCTCCAGGCCAGAAGCCAGAGCTCAAGGCATCCCAGGGGAACTCAGAAGACATGGCGGCCCAGCCTGCACCCAAGAACAAAAAGCAAGTGTTCTTCTTCTCCCTGGCATCTTAGTTGGTTCTGAAAAGCCAACTTCTTCCATCACATGTAGGGGGAAAAAGAAGCAAAGAAAATAAATTTCCAGGAGTATTGCAGTGTGCAGCTGCTTCTTGAGCACACTGGTGCATGCTGATTTTTGCTCCCACTCCCTTTGCTGCACGGCCTCCCTTTTGTGGCAGGGAGATGCTGGCTTAGCTCTTGACACAAAGCTCCTCTTGTCCTGCTTGCTCTTTCTCTGGCCACTGAAAGCCTCAGAACAACCACAGGAGGTTTGCAGTGGTTCCTGGGCTGCCACAGTTGTGTTGTGTTGGAGCTCTGGCAGCAGCCTGCAGCCCACTGCTCTGCAACGCCCTGCAGATGTCGAGCCCAAGGAAGGGCCCTTTGGAACAGGCCAAAGCCGCAGCCTCACAGATGTTTGCCCAGGCTCCGTGTTCCCTGTAAGATCCCTTGCAGACACTTGCATAGCCACATCCCAATGAAAATGAGTTGTAGTCATTCCCCTCTCTGTTAAAATCTTCAGGTAGACCCAGGAGCCAGCTTGAAAGCAGCAAGAAATTACTGCGTGAGATGGCGGAAAAGTGCACGCAACTCCTCTGGAAATCAACTCAGTTCACCTGTAGAACAAGGATCCCAGACTTAGCTTGGTTTCCTGGTGACTCAGCACCCACAAGTCCTCTGCTGGTGGACAGCACAGTCCAGTCTTTCAAGGAGCTTTACCCCGGGCTCCTCACACTTCAGAAGCTGAGGGGGGCATTTCAAAATCAATGCAATTGATGCAAGGTCCAGCACTACCTTCAAATTCTGTTGCTGAAACACTGCAGTAGTTACCCAGAAGGATTGCCTCCATTTGAAAGCATGTCATTTTCCCCATTTCCAAGTGCGCTCACATCAACCAGCGAATTGTAGGGCTTTAGAGAAGGAAGCATGACAGGGTGGCACGGAAAGCCGAGCCTAGGCCCTCAGGCCCCCTTGAGCGGGGCGCTTTGGTGCCCCAGAGGTTTCAGAGAGGGAAGCGTAAGGAAGACGCGCCCTTTCGACCCTCCTTTACTCCTCAGTACCAAGTGACCGCCAGGAACGGGGGACAGCCAGGCCAGGTCCCTCATCCTGACCCGGCGTGAGGGGCAGCTGGCACGGAGGGACACAAGGGCACGGGGGACAACATCTGCGCAAGGCAGGTGGGGCGGTGTGGGGCAGCTGTCGGGGAGGGTGTGTGGGGCAGGCCAGGGCCTCTCTGTGAAGGGGGAGAGCCTTGGGCCGCTCGGAAGCAGCGCAAAGCCATGAACGGGAGAGCCCGTCCACAGCGCACAGCTTGGAAGGCACTGACCAGCTTAGGCACAGCGTGACACGCAAGGGAACATTCCAGAGCTCTGGAGGCTTTAGAGGTTTTATTGCCAGTCGTGCTGAAAGCAAGAGCCGGAACAGAGCATCTCCTGGTTGCTTCACCATCTTCATCTTCCTCATTCTGTCCTCCAGGTGGCCAGTTCAGGCAGACAACTCGTGGGACATGCCTGCTCCAGATCTGCTGAATCCCACATTCTTCTTTGATAGCTCAATTCTTCTGATGACAATTCATTCATTTCTCCTTAAAGGATCATTCTCAGCTTCCCTACATCAACACTACTCTACTCTTATCTAAACAATGCTTCATGAATGAAGCTTTCTATGCTCTCTAGTCCTAACTAAAGACAGCTAAGCTAAGAAAACCTCAAAACATTACATTTCCTATCTACAGCACAGCTCCTCATAAAACTCAGGGGATGGCTGAAGCTCTGCCTATGCACGATCCATCCCCGTTTCCCTCCTCTGAGCTGGCACGGCACGAGGGCCTCCTGAGGCGCAGGCGTCCGCACTCCAGTTTCCCTGCGCTTGCTTTCCCCACTTGCGGTAAGCAAAGCTGCTTACCTCAGCCTGTTCTTTGGGCCTCTGCAAGGGACTCTCCAGCTTAGCTACAGCATGGCAAGGAAGTGAGTCTTCCAAAGCTCTGCCTAGATCAGAGTTTTACTGCCACTCCGGCTGAAACAAAGTGTCCTGCATCTTTATCATTCTGCCCTGCAGCTGGCCTGATCAGGCTGACAGCTTGTAGCGCCTGCACAGTGCACTTCTGCTGCATCACAGCTTTTCCTTTCCAGCGCTGTTTTCCCTTTTATTTTTATTTGCCCCCAACAGAAAAAAGCTGAAGCACAGGAGCAGCTCGTTCCAGCTGCACAGAAGCTGCACCTTTCCATGTTGCTGAATTTCAGCTGGTGGTTTAAAATGATCAAATGGCCTATTTGTTGTAATTAGACTGGGGAGGGGGGCACTCTTTATGCCACTTTACAAAATATTGTTTCTGGAATGATCAAATTGGCCTTCCTGGAAAGGTTATGACTTTCTGTAAAGGACAAGAGGCCAATAAATACAGAAGAAAATTCATTTAGGACTCAGCAAAAGCAGAACTGCTGATTAAATATTTTTAAAGAAGTGTCTGTTCTCAATCCAAATTTTAGTGGTCACTGTTATTACTACCCTAAGTGCTTACTAGCACACATTTCACCCAAAAAGATCTATACAGAATAAATTAAATTATGGTTGCACAGCACAGCCAATAGTCAAAACCAGTGTTATATCATGCCTCAAGTGAGTATACCAGAGGATACACTACTTTTCACCAAAGCAAAGTCATCCAAGAGAGGGCAAACAAAATACCTAAGTCACAAGGCTGGCAGTTTTCATGTGACCTTTTAAAAAAATGGTGAGTTTTGAAAAGTTTTCTAAGTTTTTGCTAGGGCTATAACCCACATTTTCCAGGAAGGTGTTGAGAATTGGGAATAATTTCTACCAATAGCACTTTCTCTTCACAGATCACAACTGGGCTCCAGAGCACAGGTAAGGAAAGTACCATAAAGACCAGCTCAGGCCAAACAAGAGATTCTGGTACTATTTTGAGGACTTGCCACTGTGGATGTACATCTTAACCACAGAATCACAGGAGGGTTTGGGTTGGAAGGAACATTCAGGATTAAGCAGTTCCGACCTCCTGCCATGGGCAAGGACACCTTCCACTAGACCATTATTATTTTAGTAATATTAAATTAAATAAATAAAAAAAAAACATAATTATAATTTTGTTTTAAAATATCCAGCCTCAAATAACAACAACAACAATAATAATGATGATGATGATGATGATTATGATGATGATGTTTTAAAATCCCCAGCCTCAAACCTCAGCACTGCCTGTCTTCAGAAACACAGATATGTTTTACACCACCGATTGCAATGGCCTAAAAACATGATTTCGTCAAGTGACTGGCTGCCTTCTGATGTTAATCTCTCATATTTCACACAGAATGTAATGTTTTGACAGCTGTAATAAAAACACAGGCAGCATTTTTAAACATGGCATTTAAGACTGCATCAAGTATATTTTCCCTGCATGGGCGACAACAGCCTAAGTGCAAGAAGCATGGAAGGAGCCAGTTAATATTTTTCCATGGGTGCACATCTTATTAACTCCATTGTGCCCACCACCACCTTAACCACCTCTTCCTCTTAAGCCTCTCTCCCATCTCCACACTTTCCCTTCATCATTATCTTTTTTCATGTCATTTCTCCCTAGTAAAATGATCCACACTGTTTTTTTTAATACTAGTTAAAGATCATTCTTAGTTTTTGCATCAAGAATCAGTTAAGTTTTGAAAAGGTAATTAAGAACTAAAACAGATCCAATTAAAACATTACTAACTCTAGATGAAGTTTATCTACACTGACCTATGTCAGATATCATCTAGTCTCCCTTTGTAATTATTCCTACACTTTTTTATTAGTTAGAAAATTAGGATCCTCTTATCCTAACACTTTTCCAACAAAACTAAGGAATAGAATTCATTATTTATCAACTAATAACTGTTATCAGTTAAATAACCTTAACAAGCTATCACAGAAAGGATTTCTACTCTGAAATCTTCTACTCTGAGAAAGAAAGGATTCTTTTCTCTTAGAGAAAAGGATTTTCTCTAACTGGATAGAGAAAAAGGAATTATTTGCACTTAGCGACGTTAACCAATTATTCTGATTACATCTTTCAATATTTTCATCTTCATGCCCATATATTCAATTTTTCATATTTCAATTGATTCATTTGAAACAAGAAACTAAATATCAGACTTCCTTCTGTTTTCAAGTCTCAGTACATTTCTGAACTCTGAATGAGTTAAATATTGAAATGAAAAATCACTGCATAAACTTGACACAAAAACACATCTCCCAGTGACCTTTATAAAAAACTAAGTTCATTTTCCAACACACTCACTTATGATTAATTTTAGCAATTCAGCTCATTAAATCTTGGACAGCAATAAATACATTCTAATACATTAATCATATTTAGAAATAAGTGTTTATTTGACAATCTAAAATAAGTGAGAGACACATTAAGCAAAGCTGAACAACTTTTGGTATTTTTTAGTTTTGAAAAGAGGATCTTAAATAAACTATTTCAAATGGACAGGACCTACAACAACCATCTAGTCCAACTGCCTGACCACTTCAGGGCTGAACAAAAATTAAATTAAAGGCATTTTCCAAATGCCTCTTAAGCCCTGACCAACCTGAGGCAGCGACCACCTCTCTGAAAAGCCACTGCAGTTGCTTAAGCTTTATATTGAAAAGCAGATGAACTAAAATGAACAGATTCATTTTCACAAGGAATTCCTAGTAAAAAAAACTGGGAAGGAACAGCTTATTCCCATCAAAGAATCACTTACCTCTAACAGTCTCTATCAGCTTGGGTCTGGGCGGTTTAGATTTGGGAGAGGGAGAGTTAAATCTCAGGTAAGGTCCTTTTTTAAGCGTGCTCCGGTGGCCTTGGTAAATTGGTTTTCCATAAACTAGAGACAGATAATCTTCATATTGGGTCAGTGTAATTCCACCTACAGCTCCCTGATGGACACCAAAAAGGAAAAAAAAAGTCATTTACAATTCTTCATTTATGTAAATTGGAGCAGGACAAAGCTATCACTTTCATTTTGAATTAGTACACCCGCACACACCATTTTTCATGTCCATACTGAACAGTTTTTTTCCCAGAAAATAAACCAACTACTTGGCAACTCACATCTGCCCTTCTTTCTTTGCTCTTCACATTTTCAGAAAAGTAAGTTCTAAACTTCTGTTTCCCTGTGTTATCTTCTACTTCCTTCTGCAATGGCTTAGCTGCAGGTAAAAGCTTTTTTGTCAAGCACCCTTGGTTGTTTTGAGTTTTCTCTTTAGTTTCTTTCTTGGTCTTCATAGCTCTGAGGTTTTGGGCTCTCTTGGTACATTTTTGATCATGTTTCCCTTGTTCTGAATAATTTCTTGCCATTTCAGCCTAAATAGAAAACATAAATGTAATAAATAAATGGAGATTTTTGTCTTCAAGGTTATCAGCAATGCATGGGTAACTTTGAAGCTCTGAGAAGGGGCCTGTTTTTCATGTTAGCCAGCAAGTGAGACCAGGGGTTTTCATTACATAACTACAGTTTTAAAACAGAGGTAAATATTTTATTTTTAATTTATTTATTATTTTAAATTTTTTTATATTTATTTTACTATAGCTTACTGCATGCTAGCAATAATAGGCAGCTTTCTCATGTTTTCAGGAGGTGAGTAAATCACTTTACTGTGGACATGAAAGAACAAGGTCAAGGCGGAAAAACCCAACACAAAAATCAGAACTCATTTTTCCAGCCCTACCTGGATTTCCTCACTGATTTCCTTGATCCTCTCATCCACAGTCCTTCGGATATGAATCTCTTCCAGGACATCTCTGAAACAGAAGAAAGAACCATTTTAGGTCAATGCTTCTCAAATTGCACAGATTTGTTCCTGGGAAAGTAGTGACCTTTAAATGCTCTAAAAACAGAAGCCCAGAACACAGACAGTGAGATTCTGCACCTCTGCACTCCCCAAAATGCACCAAAGCTCATCGAGAGTCCCAATCCCAAATCTGCTCCTGCATGGTGCCACCTGCAAACCCCACTCCCTGCTGGTAAATCCTGACAGCATTACAAATATTTTAGGAATAAGAGGCAGCCATGTGTCACCTCCTATTTTGATCACAACTGAAAAACAAGAAAACAAAAATATTCCAACTTAACAAAAAAGCAGATGACAAATTATTACATCCTCTAAAAGATAATGAGGGCAGGTAACATGCCTCAAAAAAAAAAAATACCCTTATGCATACAGAATAGCTACCTTCCTCAGGAAAATGCAAATTTATATTGTATTTTTTAATAGAAAATTTCCATTATGATTCAAGCAGGAGTATTTAACACAACTAACAAAGCAAAAGTTCAACAGCCAAAGATCTGTTGCAAGATGATTAAATTCTGTACATTTACAGGCTTATGAAGCCTCTTCTGCTCTGAATAATTAAATTAGGGTTCAATTTTCTTTTAAATGCATGTTGGTATGGAAACAGTTAAACGCCCTGGCAGCAGAGCAGTTTGTCCAGCTCTTAAAACCTAAGAAATCAGATTTAGGCACCTGACAAAAATCAGTTCATACCATGAGGGTCGAAAAAATCTGAATTTCAAGAATCAGACAACGATTGCTAGCAAGAGTCAATAAATCCTTTTTGCAGGGAAGAACACAAGTTCTTCAATGCCCAGATTTGGAAACATCAATCTCACAAAGCACTGAATTGTAGACTCTGACCTGTTTGTAGTCAAGGAGTTACTGAAAGCATACATGGCATCTCCATCTTTTGCATGACTAACAGCTTCCAGATTCTCCTCAAGGACTTTTTTATTGTTTTGCACTCCTCTCAAAATCCTTTCAGCATCTGTCAGTATAGACCTTGGCACTTGGATATTTTGAAGGATGGATGGTTTGCTGACTAGATGATGTTCAGGAGGATCAGCTGCAACAGGAGGATTTTTTGCCTAAAATTGAAAGAGAACCTCTAGCTTTTAATCAGAGATTGTAATTTCCTATTAATCTATTATCACATCAATGCCATCATATGAAATACTGCCCATGTGCACTATCAGCAACTTAATTACTCAAGAATGTTCATTATGCTGCAAATATATTTAGAGAAGTGAAAGACATCCAAAAGATCTCAAATGGAAAATGATGTCAAGTATGAGAGGCAATGCTAATGAGGCTAATAAGCATGTGAAAAGATGGCAATTAGAAACATGAAGTATCACAAGCAAATCTCTCCATGTAACAGTAATTAAATATAATTAAGAGCCTAATAAAAGCCCAAGTCCTCTAAATATATGCACTTGTTTGGCATCAATCTACCCCCAAGAAACACCAAGCAAAACTTATAAGTTTTAACATGGTAAATCCCTCAGCAGCCCCTTGATTCTTTTTTACTTTTACTCATTTTCACTTTTCAGAAGGAACAGTGAAACCTCTCACTTTGCAGAACCCTTTTACAGAGATAAAAATCGAGCATAAATTAGCTGCTAAGTACAAAAGAAAGGGACAAAAACACAGGAAACAAGTTCTTACATTCATTCTCACACTCCTGAGAAAAAACCCAGAGGCCCATGAAAGCTTCATCAAACAGTAAAAAAATTCAAAGTGATAAATGTACATTAAAAAAAAAAAAAAAAAAAAAAAAAAAAAAACACCTCAAACCAAAACCAAAATGCCCAGATGTGAGTAGACTCTGAAAACATCAACTGAAAGAACAGGAAAAAAAATCACACAGATCACAACTTAGTTTTGGCTTTAAGGTTACTTTTTTGTCAAATCATAATTAAACAAAAGTTATGTTCAAGGCAATATACCAAGTTATTTATCAATTTTATATAGGCTTTAATTTTAAAAGGAAACTTTTTGACAAATACTAACTCAGTAAGACAGGTAAAATCTGTGAGAAAAGGTAAGAAACACAGATATATAATTATAAATAAAAGTGGTGTGGACTTGCTAGTGAGACCCAGATCATGAAATGGTACCTGGATCTGTTAAATATGTAAAAAATGCTGGTAGCAGCAGCCCACACTGTGCCAATCTGTCACAGCAGCTTCCTGCCTGACATTATCTCCTGCAGGGATTTCCTAGGACATAACCAGACAGGAGTAATGTGATCTCTCCAAGAGCAATCCTTTAACAAATATCCAGGTGTGCCACAGGCAGGCCCTGAGATTTCATTGCAAACACACCCAAAACTGCTTCAGCATTTGAGTATTTTATAGAAAGCTCAAAACCCCACAAAAGAAACACACATAAAAAAATCAACGTATACCTTAATAAGATCATTCATGTCAGATTTCCATGTAGTTGCTTCCTAAAAAGACAGAGGAAGAGCTATTGAAACTTTAAGGTAAAATCCATAGGAGATATTGGATCAGTTCCTCTGGCCACAATGAATTCCTTGGGTTAGAGCACCACCTTCTGTCTCAGCTCATTCACACCTTTGCTTTATTACAGAGCTGGTTTATAATTTACCCAAAAGTGTATCATTATCTTACTTTCAAACCTCTCAGTGATGAGGAGTCAGTAGCTAAGTGTTTAATTGACCCAACTCTCCATTTGTTAAGTCATCACATCTCTGTCTTTCTACTGGCCTTTTTCATAAGAGAGATTTCAAATAATTTCTGTAACTGTGTCTCCCATTCCTTATCCCATCTCATCTTGCTCTGTTGCCTGTACTAAGGTATGTGGTAAGAAAATATTTGCAACCTTAGTGGGGCACAAGGAACCTGTTCCATTCCTAGTAAGAATAGTTAAATGTAAAATCCACAAAGTGTTATAAAATCTATAAAAAATACATCAGCTATGCTATATGACAGATGAGGCTGACTTTTCTACAGATACAGCAACAAAAACCAGACAGGTAATACAAAATATTTTTTTAGGGAAATATGCAAGTTGAAACTTCCAACCACAGAAATGAACCAGCAGAATCAAAGTTATTACATTTCAAGCCAATTCACAGAGGTGAATTTTCAAGCTTTTCTCCTTTCTCACTGTGTATATCGACAAGGACAGAAAGGACCACAGCACACAGGTGGAGCCAGGAATGGCACCAGGGTAATAGATAAAAGCCTCAGTTGTCACAAGCTCAGAAGCAGATCTTGCACCCTCAAAGGAACAAAATCAGTAGCACAAGAAACAGCACAAGGATTCTGTGCCAGGTATTTCCTTGGAAACAGCATTCAATAAAAAAAAAAAAAAAGGCAAAATGAGAAAGGAAATGCTTAAATCAGCCCTAAAGCTGACTGGAGATAAATGGAACATTTTTTTTTTTCACAAATGGGAAAATTATTTCAGCTCTGTAGTTCTGCAGAGAACAGGGACTGAAAATATCCAAAACCTTAAAACAAACAAATAAACTTTTTTTTTTTTTTCTCTTTCTGTCCTTCCCTGTCTCTCACCTATTTTATGTCTGGGACAATGGCAGTCAGAGTCCATTGCACACCCAGAGCTTTATTCAGACTCCAAACTCTTCCACACACAGAGACTCCAATATTTCAATTAATTGTAAACAGATGTGGATAATTTTACAGGGCAACACTATTAATATCAGACCTGTACATTTTTCTCCACATTTTTATTCCCCTTCTTCAAACCCCACCTCATTGTGATTAGACCAACTTTACCTGCAGAATGTTGTGCATTTCTCTTCTCAACTTGCCAAGATCTGGAAGTAAATGATCTGCTTTTTGCACTGTTTCCTCAATTGAACTGTAGCTTTCAAAAGAAGAAATTGCATCTGGAGGCAAAGCTTTGTGTCTGAGGGGAGAAACACTCCTGGTTACACCTCTCGTGGCTCCTGAGGCGCCCCAAGAAAGGATTCAACTGTGAAACCAAGTAGGAATTTACAGTGCAACTACCAAAGCTTTAGATAAACTGGAACTTGCTTTGGCATCTGAAGTAATAGAGAGGTTATTGGGTTTTCTGTGTTTACCACTTAACACCTTCAGCCCAATCCTTTTTATTTTCAATAGTGAAATTACATCTAATAGAGCAACATTTAAACTCTGGATATCTTTCCATTTGAAGCAATTAAGATCTTTCTGCACACTGTTCTAAATTAGACAGCGTATATGAGAAGTTTCTCACTGTATTAATGAAATTATAACTTTAAATTATTGCCTGGGGAAAATATGCTTCGGAGTGCATGGCTAAGAACATTTTTTCACCCATTTTAAATCTTAGGGATTGTTAGGTGGCTGCTGCTCCTGTAAAACACTCCAAATGCAACTTGCTGACCTCTGAGAAAGGTGTTGTGAGCTATCCTTAGCAAAAAGGATAGACTTCATCTGCCTGCAATTCAACAGAACCACAGAATCCTGGAATATTAGAGCTGTAAGGGACCCAAAGGATCAGAGTCCAACTCCTGGCCCTGCACAGAAACCCCAACAATACCACCCTGTCCCTGAGAGTGTTGTCCAAACTCTCTGAACTCTGTCAAGCCTGGGGCTGTGCCCATTCCCTGGGGAGCCTGAGCAGTGCCCAGCACCTCTGGGGGAAAAAACCTTTTCCTGATATCCAACCTAAACCTGCCCTGGCACAGCTCCACCTGTTCCCTTGGGTCCTGCCAAAAGTAATGCCAACAGAAATACTCCTGCACAGCTGTGCCGGGCTGCAGGGCCACACCAGTGACTCTTACAGCATCAGTGTCTAATGCACCTCTCCCAATTTCATGGAAACACAAACTTCTCCTCAGTTTTGGATTGTTGTGTTTATCCACCTGTGTCTCTCAGAATGCCAGCTCCTTTCATTGCTGTTTAATGCTGCCTTCTTGGAATATTCTACTTGCTTCAGTGGTGTTTCTTGAGAATTCAAAACGTGTTCCAGACCTTTCCCTTCACATACAATGAAGTGAAGTGAAGCAGAAAAAAAAAGAAAGGTAAGTTAGTTCAATATATTTATTATTTTCTTTTCCTTTCCAGGTATTTCAATATACTCACCAAGAAAAGTCAAATATTTTTAAAATTTAAATATACAGACTTGTTTCAGATAAGGCAAGTCACTTAAAACCACACACACTAATATGTCTTTCTGAGATTGCTTTAAATTAGCAAAGCTAGATGGAACTGGGATAGCAATGAACTGAGTCATTGAGTACAAATCTGTGACATTATGGACAGCATGCTTCTTATTTTGTCTTATTTCATTTATTCCTGGACCCACTGAACAATAGGAATACCTGACAGCTTTGTAACAGAGATAGAAACTGATCAGAAGCAGTAAAAGAAAATTACTTTACATTTGTTTTACATCTGCTGCTTTCAATATAATAACCCAGAGACCTTGTGGACCCCTGAAAAAATAAAATAAAAATTCAATTTAACCAATGATAATGACAAAGTTATTAAGCAGTTCCCAAGTTTTACATTACTCTGTTAAATCTTCCTGAAACTTGACTTTGAAAAAATATTTCAGTGAGTAGTCCTGTTGAAACTCTAGAGATTAAATCAGCACTGTCTTTAAGTTTTAGTTACTTATGAGTAAGTGACTTATACACAAAACTAACCCTTCCCAAATGTAGATTCCAAATATTCTGAATAGATGCATTTAAGTGCCAGCAACCCAAGGGAAAAGGTCAGAAAAGGTGAGGAATACACAAAGTAACCACCAGGCCACACCAGTTAGGCCAGTGGAGGGCAATACCTTCTCTTGTAGGTTTGGAAATATTTTCTTTTTCTACTACAGTTTTCTTTCTCTGAGATTTTCCCATTTTTGGGTACAGGTTCTGGAGCATATCTTCGAGGAATTGGTGTCTTTAGAGGAGATTTTTGTGTATGAACCCCATGACTTGGAAAATTGCTTGAATATGCTTCAGGGAACACTGAAAAAATAAAGTTATTTAAATGTTGACAATTTTCTTCAAAGGAAATTATATCATAGAATCACAGAATGGTTTGGGCTGGAAGGGACTTAAAGATCATTCAGTTCCAACCCCTTGGCATGGGCACTGACACCTCCCACTATCCCAGGTTGCTCCAAGCCCTGTCCAACCTGGCCTGGAACACTTCCAGGGATGGGGTACCCGCAGCATCTCTGAGGAACCTGTGCCAGGGCCTCACCACCCTCACAAGAATTTCTTCCTGACATCTAATCTAAACCTACATTCCTTCAGTTTGGAATCATTCCCCCTTGTCCTATCACTACCTGCCCTTGCAGACTCTAGGAAACAAAAAAATCTAGGGAAAAAACCCCATGCCAGGTCTATAAATTCTGCACAAAAATGCAAAGCATTTTTGCACTAGTTAAGTAAACAGGAAGAAAATTTCATACTTCTGACTGCTATCATAAGGGGATTTTAAAAAACCCAAAAGCCCACTGTAGTTCATCACAGCCTTCCACACAGATTATGTCTCAATAAGATTATTTTAAATCCAGGCCCCTCCTTATGCAGATTCAGTAAATCAAAAGTCTCACTTTAAATTAAACTGGAAGATACTGGAACATCTTCAGAATGTCACAAAAATTATAAAGAGCATTGGCCAATAAAACAAATTACACAGAAGAAATATTTACTACTCATTACTGATGTGATGCACAATCCAATATTAATGGACACCAAATGAATGCAAAACTAAGAGTGAAAAGAAGAATTTGTCCCCACCTTGGGCAGGTGCAGCAGTGGCAGGGAATAAACCCCTGTGAGATGAAGGTGCTTCGTTAGTGAGTGATCTCTGCCCTGGCTTCTCCCAGTGCCCTGCCAGGGGCCCAGGGACAGGCACAGGACACAGCTGCAGCCCACGGGTGTTCACTGCAGAGCTGATGAGATGGGACTGGGAGACAAAAGGACAGCATATTCCTGGTCATTGAATCACAGAATTGTTAAAGATGAAAAGACCTTTAAGATCACTGAGTCCAAGTCTTCTCCCATGTTCCCCACCACGTTCCCCAGCAAACCGAGTCCTCCAGTGCCACATCCATGATTTCTGTAAATTTCCAGGGATGGTGACTCCACCACTGCCCTGTGCATGTTCCAATGCCTGACCACCCCTCAGTGAAGAATTTTCCCCAATACCCAACCAAACCTACCCTGGTGCAGCTTGAGGCCATTTCCCCATGTCCTGTCCCTGTTCCCTGGGAGCAGAGCCTGACCTGCACCAGCCCCTCCCTCCTGTCAGGAGCTGTGCAGAGCCAGAGGGTCCCTCCTGAGCCTCCTTTTCTCCAGGATGAGCCCCTCCCCAGCTCCTCAGTCATTCCTGGGGCTCCAGACCCTTCCCCAGCTCCATTCCCTTCTCTGGACATGTTCCAGCCCCTCAGTGTCTTTCTCATTGTTGAATGCTTTCACTTCTTTTGATCCACTTCTACTGAACTTTCTTTCTTTCTAATACTTAGAAAGAATCCAAATGATTATAACATTAATTCTGAGATACAAAAGAAATTATTAACCTGAAGTTTCTGCCTTGTGACTTAGATACCTGAATATTCATTTGTTGCTCCTGTAGCTTTTCCAGGTGCTGAATCCTTTGCACCATGAAAGCATTCATCTGTTTTCCAAGCTTGCTGACTCTCTGGTGGTAGTGGGGTTCCTCATGTTGAGCCTTCACCTTTTTTTGCTGTTCAGATGCTCGTTGCAGCTGCCTGTCTGTCTCCTGCAGTTTCTGAAGCAGTTCTGAAACTGAGTTCACTTTTGCTTCCAAATCATTTTGAACCTGCAATAAAGGATTAAAAAAAAAAAAAGGGGGAGGTGAAAAAACCCATTATTGCAGAAGATATGTGAGCATCAGAAGAACAAAACATCCTTCACAGAATCCTGGATTTGCATCCCAAAAGAAACAAAATTCTGTTTAGCCTTAAACTTTTGGTGGTTTAGCAATATTGTGAATTTCTAATAGATAAATCAAATATTCTCTGTCTTCTGCTCATTTAGTTAAATCCAAATCAGTTCCATCTGGTATATTGGTCAGTGAGTGTGATATGACAAACACACAAAGCAGTGAGCAGACACATTGAGGCTCTCTGGAGCTACTATCAACAATTTCAGGCTTGTTTGGAGCATTTACTATTTTAAGAGGACAAAGAACTGCTACTCCCACTCACCTTGAGAAGTGGAGCTGTTGTGGCAATGGCAGCAGCAGTGGCTGCTGCAATGGTTGTTGCAGACTCAACTTCCCTCGGTGCTGACCTGGTGTCATCCCCAGCACCTTCCCTTTTTTCTGTAGAGGCACTTCCCAAGAGCTGCACCTTTACCTCCTTATGAACAGGAATAACCTGAGTTCTAGAAAAATAAAAATGTGCTAGTGCATATCTACACCATTCTGTTGAAAAGTTGTCTTGTTTAATTTGGGGGCCCCAACAGGATGCTGTACTTCGTGCATGAGGCCTGCAGATGTACAGGACCTAGTTTGACTGAAAAGATCAGCTACTACTTTATTTTATTCTTAGAAGAAAAATTATTGTGGACGCGCTCTACAAGGGAGCAAAGGCCTGCTTGGACCCCTTCAACTAGGAGCAAATCAGCCTAAGGCCCACTTTGCTCCTCCTGTACTTCTTCCGTCTCCACATGCTCCTCTTTCTCCCACCTGCTGTGCTTTCAGCCTGGCTGTTCCAGTGCCCCGACTCTCTGCTGACCCTACTGCCAGGGTGTAGACAGGAGGGTGAGGAGCAACAATCCCTGACCCATAGGCTGCCTCAGGAAGCCTGGAGGTTGCCAGGCTGTCTGTCCTTGCCCTAGATCTCTGCTGGGAATTGCAGCTGCTTGGGAATCCTGCCGGACAGTCAGGGAGACTTTATATGGGAGTCAAGGTGCTGCTGGAGGTGCTGGCTCAACAAACTGCAGCAAGCATTACTTCAAGATTTGAGATCGTTGGCAGAATTTGCTGAGGTACTGTGCCAGCAAAAGCAGAAGAGACAGCCCAGAGAGAAGTAGGTTCAAGTCACTAAGACTAAATGGGATCATGTCAATAATGCTTTCAGTATGAGATACAAACATCCTCAGCAATCAAAAGTTCAGACCTGAAATAGTCTGATTTGCCTCTAAGGATCTTACTGGGTTTGACACCTATTGGAGCAGACTGGTTAAAAATACTGTAAACATTCTTGAAAATATTATAAAGTAAATATTGAGGAGGGAAGGCACTGAGTACATCAGTGTTTTCCATGTCATCTGTTACCAGTCCCCTGAACCATTCAGCTGCGGGCCCATATTTTCTCCAGTCTCCTTTTGGCCCTTGATTGGGTACCTGGCCATACAGACTCCCTGAGAATGGTTGCTCAAAGAAGTACTCCTGCTCTGTGTTACAGAATGGAAACCCCTTGCAAAGTGCAGCAGGAAAATATGCCATTCTATCTATGTATAATTTGCTGCTGATCGGAAATAATATAAGAGCCAAGCATGATACCTTACCCTCTCTTCTGGCTTCATACTACTTCTGAGGTGTGCTGTTCTCAGTGGCTTGGATGCATTCAGCAATAAAATGGTTAAAGATAGCTAATTATTTTCATTATGTTAATCACCTGTATGCCCCATCTATTGTACAACCAATACTGCTCTGCCATTTCCTGATAGTGCCTGCACCCTTTTTTTGCGCAAAAAACCTCCACACTGTGCCCCCAGTCACATGTATCTGATGAAAGACTTTCAACTCCCTTCTTCTAAGCTTCCTTAGCTACAAATTAGGACATTCATCCTAAATGAAAGGACGAGAAAAGGATAATTCCCAAGCAGATAGTAGCTACAATGTGCCAAATCTTGCTGACTTCCCCAGTTTGATGTTCCTCCTCCACCCTCCCTGCCTCACACCTCCTCAGCCACATAGGCAAAATACCCTGGAGGATATTTTTAATGCATATGTGTATAGAGTATAGTTAACAGATGGATTTTTTCCTATCATTGAGTGAAAGCACTGCAGATGAAGTAGTCTGTATTCTTCCTCCCTCTTCCCAAGTGCAAAATTCAACTCAGGAATTGCCAGTGGAGCTTCTTCTCTTGTATGTTTGTTGTGAACAGTTTCTATTAAAACCCTCTACCCTCACTGCTGGTCTTAAAGCAGCCTCACAAAGAATGCACCCAGCAGGTGCTCTTAAACTGCTTTTCAGAAACAGAAAATATTTTGGAGGGTTGATGATGCCGGTGTTTTCTGCTGCCAAGAGAATCATGCCGTGTGCCACAGATTCCCTTGAAAGTCCTTGTTCCTGGTGAGGGACCTGCTCCAGCAGTGTCAGAAGAGCAGAACACCATAATGCATTGGGGTCACTTTGGCTCACTGTGCTTCATTTAAATAACTTAACTGTGGCTAGGCTACTGACAGGGATTGGTATTTTTCTCTGGACTCTCATCCCTTTAGTTCTAGCATTGTGTTTCATTCTGTGTTCCATTGTGAGGTTTTAAGAAATCAACAATGTAACTTGTATTAATGCTTTTATTTTTTTTTTGCCATGATTTTTCACGTTCTCTTTATATTTTAGCCTGGGTGCAAACAGTGATTGAGAAAAGGTTGAATGCATTTAGGTGGGTGTAGGACCAGAAGCTGCTGGGGAGCCTTGACTGCTTGCAGTGACCTCCAGGCACAGGGGCACTCAGAATCTACTTGTCAGGTAACTACTCAGAAAGGAGAGATTAACTCCACAGTCTGTCAGGAGCAGTTTTCTCATCCCATCTCTTTCGAGTTGGAAGAATTTGCTCAATTAACTGAGGTTTGGGAAACAGACTTTGGAGCAAAGAAGCAGACTTGCCATGTTTGCATGCTCACTCACAGACATGAGCACTGCTCATGATGAGGGTTTATAAAGTATCTCGATTTAAGCCCAGCTGGAGATTAAGCACCAGGCAGCCACTTGCTCAATGTCCCCCATAACCCCCACTTCACTCCAGTGAAATGGGGAGGAGGATCAAAGTAAAACTTGTATATTGAGATAAGAAGGATTTAATAAGGAAAAATAAAGTAAAAATGCAGTAATAACAGTAGATAATAATGATAATAAAAAGGGAAAACCAAGTGATGCACAAATCAATTACTTTCAATCCCGTGACAGGTGCCAGACCCTGTTCCTGAGCCCCAACCAGCCCTCCCCCTTCTAGGTAACTCCCCCAGTTTACATACTGGGCCTGACATTCTATGGTGTGGAATACCCTTTGGGGACTTCGGGCCAACTGTCCCAGCTGTGCTCCCTCCCAGTTTCTTTTGTGTATATCCTCAGTGGCAGAGCATGAGACAAGGAAAAATAAGTCCTTGACTCAGGATAAACACAGCTTAGCAAAATCCAAAACATCAGTGTGTTATCAACATCATCCTGATTCCAAATCAAAAACACAGCATTTTAGCAGCTGCTGAGAAGATATTAACTCTACCCTGGCTGAGAGCAGGACATAAGGCAAGGTCAGATTTGCTTTTTCTGTATAAACAAGTATCTATAATAGGCATCATAAGTGGGTTTTCATTTTATGAATTGTGAGTTTACACCAGTTGTATTAATTTTGATACAGAATTTTTTCAGGTAAGTTTAGTGTGGATAAATAATGTTAGATCAAGAATATCTTGGGACAACTTTCTTCCAAGAGACTGGTTAGCTGTTAGAGCCAAATACAAAATTTAAAAAAAAATTGAAACAGCTTAAGAAAATAGAAATTATTGTAGGTTTGAGTTGCTGAAATTAACTACAAAGCATGTACTGGGTAAATTAGGGGCCTCTTGTGTCTATCTAGATAAGCTTTTGCTACTTTGATGAAGTTAAAAAGCATAGCTTACTGTTTGCCTTGTAGAAGTGAGTAACAGGTCTAACATAATACAGCTGCCTGGGAAAATGAATTGTTCCTCTCCTTGCTGGGTCCTCTGGCTGGACTAATGAAAGATGATTCTCATAAAGCCAGAAAACACTGTATTTTTACTGAAGGAAACCTAAACCATGAGCGCAACAGTTTTCTCTGGAGAAACTATCAAATTATTCTATCTTTAATATTTGAATATTTCCAGATTTTATCTAATAACCGGTCAAATTATCCTTGTAAGTCCCCCTTACCAAATTAAAAACAAACAAGCAAACAAACAAATTTATTTGAATTTCTGTGATCTATTACTATTTCACAGCTTCTGTTTTTTCTCATTTAAATTCCAACTTCTTTTCTCTTTCCTCTTTGTCTTTAATTGTTGTAGAAGAGAGGAAAAAATTCACAATAAACTGTTTTACATCCTTTAATGTCCATGTTTTTACTAGATAAACACATCCTTTCACAATAATAGAAATCATTAAATCTATGGGGTTCTGTATAACATAAGCAGTATCGTAATTTAGCAACAACAATTTTATTTTCTTCAATGTCAGTTGATGCACACATAGGATATTCTCTTTCTTAGCTTCCTTCCTACATTTTGTTCATGTTGCAGACTTCAGGGTTTTTTGGCATAATACATGTATCTAAAATGACTTCATGTTACATTCTCTGATTTTGCTGTTTTTAGAAAGTAGGAAAAAAGAAATTCATCCAGTGTTGTGGAAGCAAAATAGTTAATGTCTCATAGGCCTCTACTAGTCTCCCTACTTAAGACATATTTGCTGCTAAGGACTTTGCCAGTCAGCAGGATTTATTTACAAAGGAGTGGATTATTCATAAAAGGAGTAGATCATTTGTAAACTGGTATACTGCATAAACCCTACTTATCTGAAGGAATTAAATCTCAGTTGTTACCTACCATATCCTGCTTATCTAACACAGTCTTGACAAAGAAGGAGTTGTATAACCTGCATGTCAGGTGTTATCACCTCTGTGTCTCTCTCCTTTGGACAGAGTTTGTACCAGCAGCAATGGTCACTCTGCCATTCTGTGTTGTCTCCTATAGCTGTATTGATAAAATTCTTCTGTTCTGGTCTGATCTAAATTGTATTCCAGTTTTTTCTGCAAGAGAGACTAAAGAAACCTCGAAACAGGCAAACAGTACTTCACAGGACCACCAAAGCCACCATGACTTCAAATTCTACCATCTGTGTATCCCCTTTTCTGAGCTGTTCTTCTTTCTTGCAGCCTAAAATGTTCCTTTGATTTTTAGTAAGAATGCATTACTTGATGTGAATTTTTTTACATAGTTTACAAAGTACTTGGGGCAAGGGAAGAGTGATCATACTTCTTTGACCTTTACTTCATTTGTTTGCATTTTTTGCTTTTGTTTTTGGTCATATTGCACATATAGCAAGTTATAAATATATAATAAAATTAGAGGATGGCATTTGCATCCAAAAGTCTTTTTTTTTTTTTTGATGGCCTGAAGCAACTTGTATTGAAAATCTCATGGAAATTAAGATTCTCGGAACATACAAATAGAAAGAGGCCTGTAATAGCAAATTCCCTGTAGCACACTGTACTTGCTCATAAATGGAACAGCTTTAACCTCTGAAAAGCAAAATGCTGCCCACCCCATCCTGTGTGACCAAGGACAATGGCTATGTGATGTAGTAGGTAATCTTGTCTTTAATCACATAGATCATATTATACTGTTGGTCCCTGGGCAGAGTTTAGAAGCCTTCTGGGATATTCTGAGTATCCCAAAACCTCTATGCAAATTGAATAAACAAATCACAGTAATGTTGCAAAGCACAAAGCAAGGAGCAGAGATTTTTTGTTTTGTAATTAAATGGATTCACCCATTTGCACACAAACTGTCATATCCACCGGTTTGGAAGCTGCTAAATGTGTATTCCCTCTTAGTCTGGAGAGAATTACGTGAGGTAAGACAGAGGGAAAGAAACTCAGCCTTTGGTGCCTCTTCACATTCCCAGAATTCACTCTTCACTGCCTGGGTGTCCTGGGAAGCTGCTAGTGGATGTGAGCTTGATGAAGTTCTAGTGTGAGTGCCACCAGCAGCTGTCAGTCTCACAGCCATTTTGCTGGCTTTGTCTTGTAGATTTTCAGGGAGGCATGAGTTCTTAACTAGAGAGTACTCTTGCCAGATATGCCTGGAAATGTCTGCCCTGGCCATAGAGACCTGATGGGGCCTTGGAACACAGGGATAAAGCCTTGGTGGCATGTATGAAACACCAGTAAGAAGCATGAGACAAGAGATAGAGGGGTGGTGTTGGCAGTGGCACTACAGTAATCCCAGACGTGTACTCTTGGGCCACAGTGCTCCTGGAGAGAGCCGGGGTGAGGATGGCCCATTGTGATGTTACCTAGTGCTGGATAGTGGTGTCTCCAAGGTAACTGATGTCACCAAGGGATGTACTGGATGATAAATTGTCTACACCCAGTGAGCTAACACA